TAATTTTGTTCAAGAGTGGAAAATGAAATTCTGGTTTTAAGATTTTATTATGTTATATAATTATATTGTACATAAATGTTTTTTATCCTGTTTTAATATAAGGAATTTTTGAGATGATGAAACTATAATGAATGTATAAAACTCTTCTATTACATACAGGGTAAGAAATGTCTACTTTTATTTTCAATACTGATTAATACTTTGTTTGTATATGTATGGTAGAATGTTGGTGAAGAGGAATTCCACAGTCGCAGTTTAGAGGAACAGTTATCACAGGCAACTGAATGTTATGTTCCTGCAGACTTATTGATTGATCTTCACACAAAGTTGACTGTGTCCCTGATTCATGTGAAAGCATTTGAAATCAGTGCACCACTGGTTGAGCAGTTGATGAAGTGAGTTTGGGAATGAATTAGTATTTTATAATCATTATAATTTAGATTCCTGAATTAAGAATCTATGCTGAATTTGTAGATAATTGATGAAAAAAATTAGTGATCTTTAAAAAATATTAACTTCAACATTGATGATTATATGGATATTTATGGAATGGTAATATACATCCCTTGTTAACCTTCAGTGAATCGGTGGAGGAATTCGGTGACCTGTACTTAGATATAGCTGAAGCCTACATGGATGTTGATTTCCATGAAGCTGCCCTTCAGTTGTTGCGTCCACTCATCAACTCAGATCACTATAATGTTGCTGCTGTTTGGCTCCAGTATGGGGAGAGTTTGGCAGCTGTCGACCAGATGGAAGAAGCTGCTGAGGCATACAATAAGGTTAATAAATAAGAATTTTCTTCTACTAGTAGTATGGTATGATATGTATCTATATAACATGCTTTGAATGGATATGCAATAGCATAATATATTTGATACACATTTCTTGCAATTAAAAGAAAACTAGATGGGACTTCAAGGTTTGCAGATATTTTCTGCTAGCAAGGGAAATTTTCCATTTCTTGCATATATATTATACTAAAACAATTTTTTGTTAAAACTTTTTGGTTATTAGTTACTGAAGTTTAATAAATTATTATAGTTTTGATGCATGCACACAATTAGTTATGGCAATTGAACTGTAAAGGAAATACTCAGAGACCATTCACTTTATTCTCCCATTGCAGGTGGTGAGACTGGCACCGCAGCATGCTGAAGCCCGTCTGATCTCTCATCCATCCTGCAGTCGCTTGGCCGCCTGGATGAAGCTCTCCTCATTCTGAACCAAGAGAGTGACTTTGAGCCTTTAGACTCACAGCTCCTCTTCCAGCGATGCAAGATCCTGCTGGATCAGAACCTTGTTGATGAATTTATTAATGCTGCTAAGTTGCTGTTCAGGAGGCATTTTATTCACATTAGGTGAACTTCAATTTTTTTTTCGTAAATGTATTGCCGAAAGTCAGTGTGTGAATGTATGAATGACGCTATGTAGCTGCCCATCATTTACTTTATGTGTATGTATGTTAATGTAAGTATTTAAGAATGCACAGGCTTGCACAATCTGTGAGTGCTTCTTCCCCCTGAATTTCAGTGTTGGTTAAATTCATTTAAAAAATCTATGGTGTGGCCAGTGTTCTGGAACTAATAATGAATCTTTTTTTTTTTGAACATTGACAACTGTAAATAGAAAATAGATGGCAGGAGGATAAATCTGCCTGGCAATTTGCCTGGAATATAATTATTTTATGATATTTTTAATTCAAAATACAATTTGCTGGATGTTTTTGCACCTTTCTCAAAGCTTTTATATTAATCTTTAAAAAATCAAGTAAGACCTGATTTGTCTTTGTCACAGACCAAAAAACAAAACTGATCTGATGGTTAAGTATATTTCAAACTAAGCAAAAAGTAATTAGACCAATTGCATGTTTCTTCATCAGATGTAATAAATGTAGCAATTGAACTCTCTTGACAGAAATCGAGATGAGGCTGAAGCCATGATCAGCAACAAGAAGCTGAGCAACAAATATGAAGCCATCCGAGAACTCCGGCGTTCCAAAAATGAGAGTCTGGAAGACAATGGACCAGCTTACACAGGGCCAGATGTGTCTATAGAAGATCAGTGGGAACTCTTTACCAGTGTGTGTAATATCCTTCATGAAAAGAAGAGGTAAGGAAGTTTGTTTTTTCATTGTGACCTACATAAAGGTCTTTGTGATTATTTATGGTCTTTGCTGATTATTATTTTATTTTTTCTGTCAGTGTAGGCATCTAGTATAATTTTGCAAGGAAAAAAAGGTGCTAAGAATGCTCTCTTCACTGTTTTGTGCAGGTTTGAAGAACTAGAAAGAATGACTTTCACAGCCCTTGGGTCTAAAGAATTCATGAAGGACAAGGAACGTGCAAGAGAGGTCGAGTTCATGTGTCTCTTAGCCTGTATCTACAATGAAAGCTCCTACTTTGCCTACAACATTATGAGGGAGCTTGTGATCAAGAATCCTGAGAATGAGAGATGCTGGAACCTACTCAACCTCATCATCTCCAAAGCGGACGACTTT